CTTTCATATCTATATTGCAACACCTAAAGAAGTTTACTATACAAATGATGTATTTGTTTTAAGTGATTTTTATACTAGGTTTTTTTTGACAGTTCTTTCATTATTGCTTGTTGGCAAAGAAACTCCTCAAGTTCTGATAATTCAATTCAGACAGGAACTGTAGAACCATCAACCTTTATTATAGTGCACACTGGAATCTTCAGATTCCAAATCTTGCAAGCACTCATAAATTTCAAACTATGTACATGTAATTAATCAACTACAATTGATAAGCATACAACATGGCTGAGTGGACTTGAAATCTAATGACTGCTGTGTGGATTCAAACCCATCAGGAGCAAGCTGTTGTTTCTTAAGTAAGAAACTTTACACTCATTGCTTAATCCTGGTTGGTTCCAGGAACAGATTTGAGAGTGGGTTTATCAGCTTAAAGCTTTTTACACAAATCAAACTAAATTCTGTACAAATTTAACAATCAATATACATAAGCTATAGGTCACGATTATTTTTTTACTTATGAAAGACATTTAAGTTGCATTACAGCTTATAATCATTGAAATTTATTAAAGGAGGAAAACCTCAGGAGCTACTTTTTGCATAATGCTGCACAGAACAACTCGCGGAGGAGTAGAACCACCAACCTCCTGCAAACCACATGGTCAACTTCCTCACATCTGGTGTGATTGAAACCTTCCCGAGCTGAAGATTCAAACCTAGAGTTACAAGGCAAGTGACCCACTAGCACAGCACTCAGCCCAGAAAGACCCTAGATAGTCATATCTGGAAGGCTGACATATTAAGTAGTTTGATTTCATAAGAAAATGTGTACAGATCCCTTCATATCACACAAACATTTATACAACTCTTTCTTAAGCTAAACATTACCTCAGTATTTCCTTCTACTTGCTACATCCACCCTGTCAACTCAAAATTGCATATACTTTATATTGTAACAAAACTTTGATATAGCAGGCTGCTAGTCCAGCAGCTTCTAGGCTATATACATGTCTATATACATGAAGTTGATTTTAGTAACCAACATAATCTGTCTCAAATATCTTAGTTTCTAACATGAACCTTTGACTTCTTATAGCTACTTACATCTCATAGCTAGTGACTTCTAATATAATAGAAACTGACTTCTTATATCATAGTAACTGGTGTGTAACAGCAACAGACTTCTCAAGTAAACTTGTTCCAAACAAGCACTCACATACATACCGTACCTTGCCAAGTACACCTGTACATATATGTACAGACAACAGACACATAAACATTTTGCTGATCATTTAGAAAAAAAATTGATACACTCATTAAACAGGCAGTCAACTATGCTTTTATCCAGACAAAATAAACAAATTCTACTACAACAGCATTAATTTAAATATACAAAACAATGATCTCTGATTTTGCAAGACTTCTAAAATCATTTACAGGTCAACTGCTGCTAACACTTGTAAATCATTTATAGGTCAAACACTGCTAAATAAAGCAGCTTAATCTGATACAAATATTTCTTAGGACTGCTATAACAGCAGATTTGTATAATTTGCCGTGTACATCTCTTCATTACAGTGTATAATCTTGTAGTTTGCAATAGTTGATAAGCCATTCTTTTTCAAACACATGTATGTCCTATTCTTGTTCAATTTGCTACTTCCTATTCTTGTTCAATTTGCTATTTCCTATTCTTGTTCAATCTGCTATTTCCTATTCTTGTTCAATTTGCTATTTCCTATTCTTGTTCAATTTGCTATTTCCTATTCTTGTTCAATTTGCTACTTCCTATTCTTGTTCAATTTGCTATTTCCTATTCTTGTTCAATCTGCTACTTCCTATTCTTGTTCAATCTGCTATTTCCTATTCTTGTTCAATTTGCTACTTCCTTGATATGTCCACTGACGTTTAGTGCACTATCTTGCAATATACTACAGACTGCTCTCTCTTGATATATATACTGTTTTACATGAAACATATGCAGTTTTCTTTAAAATGTTTCATGCCATCCCACATCCAATGTTTACTTTTTCTTGAATTTTTCCAACATTAGTTGCAGTGCATCTAGCATTTACTATTGCAGGTGGCTATGCAAATAACTCGATTCAATACTTTTTTTTAAAGTGCCATTTGCAGCAGGAAAGTTCATTTCAGCTTTCATCACATCCTTTTGCAATACTCTTGTAAATGTAACTTCTACTTGAAATAATATATTAAGTCTGCAAATGCCCTCTGCCTTCACACTGTACCTTTTCTTCAAAGAAGCATACGAATCAGCCAAAACTGCATTGCGCTGGTACATGTTTACTTGCAAATGTCCTCACATCTGTTATAAACAGAAAACCATAGTTTCCTATCTAGCCCAAGCTGATTTATATTTTTGGCGACCAACTACAATCAAAATGGTGCCAACAAAATGTTTACAACTTCTACAGCATTTCTATTTTTAGGTACATCTTATTATGAAAATAAATTATAAATGTGTCCATAGGACACTGACGTTCCCATTTCATAAGCCTTTAACAGTGAATATATCATAAAGTTAAAGCATTAAAATATATAAATAGGCCCTGAATAGTCTTATAACTATTTCACATTTCACAAACCTATGACTGAGAAAACTGAGTTATTATCAATATTGATAAGACGTGGATTTCCCATCAAATGTCACTGTGACCTTGACCTTATGACCTCATAAATATCAAAAGTCATCAAATAAACATAGGTAATATCCGTACTTATTTTAACAAACTAATGCTTACTTCTCAAGTTCTTCATTAGACAAAGGTTTTACATTTAGTCACTGTGACCTTGACCTTTAATTCTAACAACATAAAATTCAAAAGGGGGTCAACTTATTATCCCTCAAGTTATTGATTGGATAAGATTTTATAAAAGTTTCAGTGTGACCCTGACCTTTGACCTAAAGACATCGAAATCAAAAGGGACATCAACTTGTGATGGGCACTATCCCCTACCAAGTCACTTTGACTTAGTCCTACTCAAGTTATTGATTTGTAAAGGATTTTACATTGACACTTGACCATTTGTGTTGAAATAAAGAAGTGGGGGAAGGGATAAGGGACTGAATTATTGGCAATGAAAGAACAGAAAAGTTACCAGGTCCCAAAATGTAATCAACTACAAAAAATCTTTTATTATTTTCAAGATGGTAAAAAGAGGCTTACTTTTTTACTTGGAATTATTGCAATATGCAATTAAACCATACAAAAATTCTAAATATTCTAGTAAATTTATCATTAAGTTGTAATCCATTTATTTTATCATCTTAAATTTGTTATTTAATTAAAACTGTGCACTATCATGGAAGCAATTAAAAAAATTTTCCCTGTAACTCACCTTTGAAATTTTCTGTCTTCCTACTCCCTTTTATTACTGCTTTCCTTATTAACTTCTCTTTTATTCCTTTCCTTTTATATATTAGCCATTTACTTTTGATAAATTTTCCTCACCCTGCATATACCTTTATAGATCATACCTGAATCTTTGAACTCTTTTCTCTTTTCAACCAGCATTTTACCCTTTTGTTTTCACAGCATTTTACCCTTTTCTTTTCAACTTGATAATGCTTTGATCACCTGCTTTACTCTTTACCTAGACATCCTTAAAACCTTTAATCTCTCTTTATTATATCAACTTTGCATTCACCGTGACAACTTTTAATGCAGCTTCTTAGCTACCAATACGGGAATCATAAATGATACCCATAAAACTTTTCGGAGACCAAATATGTACACATTTCACATGACCAATTCATTTACCTGGTCTATTCTTGAAATCTGGCAAGTCTGTCTTTACTGTAGCTTTCTTGCGCTCTGAAAAGTTAGAAAACGGCATGTAGCAAATTCATTTTAAGTGGTATTTCACAGTTTATAACAATTTCGAACAAATACCTGTAGTTGTTTGGTTTTCACAATAACTTCAATAAATTTTTAGTAATATCTTGGTGGTCGACCTACCGAATCGGCTATCCCTGGATAACTACCAGTATTTATCATTGTCTCCAGACATGGGATAATCATAAATCATTAATCATCATGATTATTAATTGATTACTTTTTTTCATTAATCATTAATCACTGCTTTTTTGTCTCACCAAGTGACAAACTACTAATTGCACATGATTTCTCAATGAGTGGCAAGTCAGATTACCATTAAACTAAATGTTCGAGATCAACTGTTGTGGAGAAATTTTGCCTCGCCCTAGGATGGAACCAGCCGCACCTGAATTACAAATCCCATATTTTCCATATTAAGCTAAGCTGGCGGACAAGACAGGATCTTCAAATGATGACAGGTTTCGACTTTGGTTCAATATAATACACCTTGCCTTGTAATTACAAGTGAATAATGACTAAATATTTTATGAAAGGAGACATTTATTCATTTTAAATTACCTATACGTCTTGGTGGTGAATCATGGGAAGTTCGGCGGTCCCTCCTATCATAGTGATCACCTTCTTGTCTACGTGCCTCGATTCGACTCCTGTAATTCAAATAAATTACATTGGTAACAAGCTGTACAAATCATTTGGCATACACAAAACTAAAGAGCAAAGGTCCATAATCCTGCTTAAAATACATAAATCACAAAATCCAGTATTTGGTGACAATATTCCTGTGTGAATTTGGTTGTTGTTGGTGAAAGTTAAGACTTGCAAACAGGATTAATTACACTACTTAAATTAAAAAAAATTAATTCAGAAAACCTTGTTATACGTAAGTAAGTCCTAAGCTATCTGTCTCAATTTTAAAAGCTATATTCAACATTGGACTGAAGAGAAATGGACAGCTTCGTTGGAAGAAGACAATGAAAAAAATCATGTTTTTTTTCTACATGAAATCTTATTTACTCCCATGATTTTTCTTCTTCTTGGTAAATGTTCTTTTACTAGACAAATTCAAATGGCTAAAATGCTTATATTTCCTCAAAATGGACACTAAAAAAAATTCATTCACTTTTTAAAGATTTTTAATTTAGCTAATGACTTAATTTTTTTTCCAAATTGACTAACTAAATATATATAAAATAACCAACACAGCTAACTTACAACAAAACCCATATAAATCAATTCTCACCTTGCGTCCATCATTGAAGACTGTCCACTTTGACGCTCCCTACCATCGCGTCCCCCGTCTCTATCCCCGTCACTTTTACGTCTCATCAGATTATACCTCAGATCGTTAGGGTTTCGGTGCACCTTCCCCTGCATCAGTGACAAGTCCTCATATCTCTGTTGATCTCTGTACATTTTCTCATACCTCGGATCAGGTTTTGGATCCAGTCTATTCAATATATATGAAAATTTCATTGATGTGTTCTCCCCTATCTAGAATCTTTTTATGGATTAAATGGGTAAAAAATCTGAACAAATGTTAAGTAACAAGTGCAATTATAAATCAAAGCAAAGCCACTTTTGCCTACTTTCTAATTTTTTTGTAGTACCTATAGATATAATTTCAATATATTTTTGTCATGCAAGTTTTCTACTGTGACTATTATTTCAGAAAATATCAGTTTGGAAGCTGCTATACATTCTTAGCAGGGCCTGTAATCCTTATTAAACAAGAACAACAAAACTATGGTTTAAATTTAAGTCTTCACGTTGAATGTCAAAGTCAGCTGAGATCATAAGCTAAATAATAATATGTATTACTTTCATACAGAGTAGTGTAATGTCAAAGTGTAACAAGAGCTGTTGGTAGGACAGCAAGCTTGACTATTCTCAGAGCTTGACAATAAAACAAGAGCCTGGATAATGTAGAATTTCCTATGTTAAAAAAGGGCCATAATTCTGTTAAAATGCCCTAGACAGTGACCTCCTATTGGTGTAAAGTTTCAACCCTTTAGTAGTTTTGTAGATACCAATTTGCACACAAAATTTTTACAAAAGTGTGACATCCACAACTGGTCGAATACAATAGCTCTCCCTATTCTTCCAACAGTCAAGCTATAAAGTGGTAGCATGGCCAATGGTTAACATGTCCTTGACAAGTAGTAATCTAAGGATTGTTGGCCATGTGGGATCAAATCCCCGTCAGGGTGAAGCCATTGGTTCCTAGTTATGCAATAATAATTACACACATTGTTTAGTTGGTTCTAGAAATGGATCTGAAAATGTGCTCATAAGCTTATAGCTTCCTACACATTTGAATTGAAATAAATTGTGGTATGCACTGCAGTATAAAAGCATTAAGCCATTGGACCAACATTTTACTGCCAAGGCTAAAGCTGTCAATAGAGAAAAATGAGATAAAAACAACACTGTCCCTTAATTATCATTTCAATGCCATTAAATTGTTTCAGACCTACCTTACTGTCACTGGGACATCATCATATGCACTAGACCTAAAATGAAAAATAAGACATACATGTATTTGTGATAACAACAAAGTTACAACTTCTCCTTGAAAGAATCTGTTCATTTCAACATTATACATCTACAAACATCTCATTTAACAAACTACCTTCCAATTTATCTTAAAAGGCACTTTAACAAAATTCTAGATAAATAGGAGGATAACTCCATGATTGCATAATGCCAGAAAAATGTCAGAGATTAAACAAAAACTTTCTCTATTTCTACGCTTAAGCAACTTTTGAAATGAGAGTAAATTATGCCAATATCGTACCTTGAGGACCTCGGTCTTGAACCGGAGTCTTGCACCATACGTCTATCACCATATCCTTCTCTGCTTGACCCTACAGTAATCTTATAATCCAACTCTTCATTGTATTTTCGTGACTTTGGTTTATCCACCGGTTTTATTGAAATTGTTCGTTTTTCCACATATGCCTCTTCATCCAGAATATCATCATGATGAAACGCTTTGATTTCATCGCGATCAAAAATAGCTTTCACATAGCTTTCCTTCTTCGGGAAAAGCATTCTGAATGTCTTTGGATTAAAATCATAATTCACTTCAATATCATCGTCATCATTCAATTCAATATGTTGAGGCCCTCGATGAATCCCAATTGTAATGTTCTCCTCGAAATCGAACCCTCCATGTGCCACCTGGTCGTGAGTTTCGAACCGTTTGTTTAACTTTTCTCTCTTAGGTCCCTTTTCTACAATTGTTACAAAGTCAATCTCGGCTGATCTTTTAGATGATCCTGATGGGAATAAAGGTTTTTTAGAGGATGATGGCTGATCCGCGTACATTTTTCCGCTATACGCTGACTCATGAACAGGAGATCGCGCTTGTTTTGACGATCGTTGCGATTGCTGGTAAACAACTTCATCTTCATATAATCTTTCTTCTCTTGACCTGAGATAGAAAATCACAAACATGAAATCAAAATCCATAGATTTACATGTATATACATATATCTAAGAACTTCTAAATAATAAATCCAAAGGTCGCTGCATATATCTTCCAGCAAGAAGGTATTTCTCTGCATGACAATTGATATTGGACATTAAGTCTCATGATTATTTGTCTCTCACAGATTTTTGCAGGTCAATTTGAGGAGAAATTGGTCATTACAAGTGAGTCATCCAAGAAATCACAAGTGAACCGACAGCTGAGATACAACAAAAAATATATTTAGAATTGGTGTTAAAATCAACTTACCAAAGAAACAATCAGAATAGTGTAAATGTGAAAGTAACTGGCTATCTTTCCAGCTTAAGGGGTAGAGGAAGATCCCAGTAGAACCACTGACATTCCTTAAGCTAGCTGGATAACTTCTTCACATAAAGAATCTAGTTTCTTCCAATAGTGGTGAAGGGCAAGTGGTTTGATATCATAATCAGCCACAAATGCCCCAACATCCCTAGTAAAGTTACATTATTTTAAGTTAGTTTAGTCTTTTTTAAGAAAGGTCAAAGTGAAATTCTGGTCTGTAGTACACCGACTCTTACCTTTTAACTGGACTTGGACTAGGTGTCCTGGACCTGAAACCTGATCTCTTCCCCGAAGAGTCAGCTGGTCTTTTCACTGGATGGAGTCTTTCACCTGGAGATGGTGATCGTCTTGGTGAATGACCTTTTCTTCTAGGACTTTGGGACCTTGACCTTCTTCTCGGACTGTGCGACCTTGACTTTCTTTTTGGAGACCTTGACCTCCTTTTAGGTGACCTTGACCTTTTTCTTGGTGATGGTGACTTTCGTCTAGGAGGGGATCTATACTTTCTTTCGGGGGATCTGATATTGACATGAATTACACAACATTAAATGATTAAAAGATAGAAAATAACTTCTGAAATTAGTTCTTTTCTTATTAACTTTGTATAAAATTGGAAGGGTGTTTGTATCTGTCAATCTGAAAATCCACAAATTCAGGAATAATCGTGAAAATTGTTGCCTTTATCTTTATTTTGTCTCTAAATAAAGTGTCTCTTCTTACATTAAACAGGGTTCCCACTCTTAGATATTTTGAAAATTTAAGGACTTTTCCAGGACTTATCAAGGACCTTTTTTGATTTTTTAAGGACTTTTTAGAAGATTAAATTTCAAGCTACATGTATTTGATTTTTTTGTCCTATGAATATGTTCATGGTAATGTTTAGAACAACATTTAATAACACCAATATAATACATGTAGTTCATGACATAAATCTAATTCTATCTAAGAAATACATTCAGTGTCTATAAATAATGAAAATTTACTTTGTGACAGCAACTGTTTTTGCAGGTTGTCTGCAATTTTCATGTAATTTTGCTGTTTTTAATGCTTCCAAGGGATCACTTTTTTACCAGATATTGATAGTAATTTAATTAGTAACCTCACATTTGACCTCAGTCCACTAAGGCTTCATAGAATGGCAAAAGCATGTCACACTGAAGGGTATATGAAAACTGCCTGCAGGTGTTTCTACATTCAAAATTTCACGACTTTCATGTTAAAATATTGTATTCTGCTTAAGCCAGTGCTACGGGGTGCACTTTCCAGTACCATATATGAACATATATCAAGTCCTAGTCTACAACATTTTCAATTTTGCCGTTTTGGATGTTATTTAGGGATTCTTTTTTGTATTTCAATGACATATCTTTTGATTTGATCTTACAATTTTTTAAACCATCTACAAAATATAGCGGGAGCATGAAATACCCAAATATACCCAAACACACTAAATTATAGCAATATTCATTTTGGTTTGTATACAATATTGATTTTAATGAGAAAATGAATTGATATTTACAAAATAATATGACTTAGCCAACTATAACTTTCGATCATTCCATTGAAATTGGCAGTTCAGATGTTGTAAGAAAAAAAATGTGACATTTGCTTATCTAACTGTTAGGTTCATTAATGAATAGGCAAATGTACTTGCAAGATATGATAATATTTGTTGTCTACATTTAAATTTGTAGGGTACAATTTTGTTGAAATTTCACACAAGTTCATTCGTATTATTTTTTTAATTTAATAGCTTTAATGGAGTATACTGTATTTGGGTATATTTTGGTTCAAAAATGTATATAATTTGCCAAAGGAACCAACCATTTACCCTGTACGTCAATGCCCCAGAGTAGGTTATGTACAGTATTGGAAGAAGAAGAAGAAGAACCAGACCTGTGAGCTTTAATCTTAGCACGGGCCAATCAAGCTGTTTGTTTGTTTGTTTGTTTTACGCCTTTTTCAACAGTATTTCAGTCATATAGGTGGGTAGTTTCCTAACCATCGTTCCTGGAGAGTTACACCAGTACTAGACTACCTTCCTCCGCGCTAAACTACCAAAGCATCTCCCGGGGATCGAACCCACGCCAGAGAGGTAACTGTATTAGAAGTCATCGACTCTAACCCCTCGACCACGGAGGCGGCAAACTTGAGGTTGATTTGTGACTGTCTTCCTAGATTTTCCAAACAAATTCGCCATAGTAACCAGAAAATAAATGATAAATCTCATAAATGTCAAACTTGGCCTCCCAAAACAGTTGTAAATCGAAAATCATCAACATTCAAGATGCGGAAGTCAATATACTGTGCAAAGACCGCCATTTTGGTTTCTTTGATTTACCTCCCCTTTTCCAGACTAATTCCCGTACCTTCCCGGACTTTTTTATGTAGCAACACTAATTCCCGGACTTTTCAAGCCCGGGAGCTCCTGTTTTCAAATTCACGGACATTTCCCGTTTCCCGGACAGCGTGGGAACCCTGATTAAAAAAAATTGGGGGGGGGGGGGGGGGGACGGGGGGGGGGGGGAGAAGTTTTTAAAACTGTGGACAACCTTTTAAACCCTGAACCTGATACAGATTTTCCCTGCATGAAATTTGGAACAGTCTATATAACATATTCTAGCAGGTTATGAAACACAGGCAAATTGGTAATTACATTTATGAACACTTTATTTAACAGAGCTCAATTTAGCACATAAACGAAAGCTAAAACAGAAATCCAGTTGTTTTTCCTGAAACTAGAACAACTTATTTGTTAATTTACCTTCGTCTCTGTGGTGACTTTGACCTTCTTCTGTCCCTTGAACGAGACCTAGATCTCCTTCGTCTTGGCGAGTGTGACCTTGACCTAGATCTTGACCATACAAAAACAAAACAAAAAGGCATAAGACACAAAATTATATTAACGTCACAAATATGAACACTAAAGACTGATTATACTTTCACAAAAGTGGTCAAAAACTTGATTTTAAAAATGACAACAAACAATCTTGGCTTACAACAAACAACTTCATGTAAGAAATTTACAATAAATATTAAGTATGGGCTCTTTAAAACAGATCTAAATGCAAGTTAACACATTTTTAGTACCTCCAAAAAATTTGTCCATAAGCTTCTGTAAAGGAAAGTCATTTAATTAAAAGATATGGACTTCGACAGTAACTAATTAATTAATTCTCTGCAACAACTTCCTCCCCTTTTTAAAAATTAATTTCCTTTCTTCAAATTTTCCATTTTAAATATTACTAGTCTATTAAAACGTTTAAAGTTCATTTATATCAACAAAAGATTTTCTTTAAATACATTTAATTTCTTAACTCAAATGCAATAACTATCTAATACATACAATATCTATACATTTAGGAAACATCATACATTTATATATATTATTTTTTTATTGAAACTTATTTCAATTTAAGATTATATATTAATTATATGACACATATACTATGCATATAAAATGCACTCACCTTTGCAGCATACACTTGTCTAAACCGTCTAAAGACTGCTAGAGTATAAGGCATGATTTTGACAACAAAGAAATATAACTTTTAAACCTTATATCGCATTTTCAACCATATGGAGTACTTCAATGAAACAAATGTTTACAATGTTTTACTGTATTTTGTTTGTTTTGGTTTTACGTTACATGTACATTGACACATAACTGGTCATACTGCACTGAATACATTAATTATTATTTTAAGTAGACCATCTAGTAAGTTAAAAAGATCAAAGTATTATTCATTAATGGGCACTCTGGACAAATTCATTTTTCTGCTTTTTGCACCTGGATAATTTAATTTCACATAATTTTAATACAACACTTGACTTTCAAGTACTTCAAAGATACAAGTTTAGTCCCATAATATTGTTTCATTGTATCGAACTTGAAATTCTTTCAAATAACCAAAAGTAATAATTACATCCCAAAATACCGCCTAGTAGGCTACATAGTTTTTTATACTTTATCGGGGTATATTTTGGATATTATTTTAAATAGTGATAGAATTCAAAGTTCCTGTGGTATCTACATGCCATGGTTATCAATCAACTCAAGTGAAAATCATACAATTTTGTGCTTTAAAGAAATTTAAAAAAACAAAACAAAAACAATTTAACAGGATGATGGGATAAAAAAATCTGGGTTTTTTCTGCTTTAATTACAACCTTAATTAAATATAACCTTATTTAAATATTACACCAACGGCTCTAATTTCTGCAAAATCTATTCAGTTTTTCTTGGACTTGTCACTTGGACTAAGTTGACTGTAGTCCAATAGATTAGACGTTACAGGCTTGTTATAGTTTTATGTTGGTCAAGCCTTTACGTCTAATAGTTATTGCTCAAAAACGCGTAGCATTTTGAAAAATTAAAAAAATGTCTGTTGACTTGCCTTTCAAGCTTTATTCAAAAGCTTATCTTCTGTTCTTTCAATTGCATGGTCTATCATTAACAAAAACTTTAAAACAATGTACTTATCAATTAAAAATAAAATATAAATATCAGTCTATTCCGCTCATCGGCCATACTGGTTAAGTAAAGCGTTTTACAGATTGATTCCAATTTTTTGAACGGAAAAATATATTTGAACACACTGACGGTGCATGGGCAATTATTTCGTTGAAAAAATATTCCGTTAGAAACTTCTGGACTCATTTAAACGCTTGCATTTGAATTAGCCAATCAGATTTCGCGCACTGTATGGCGGCCATTTGTATATCAGCTGTACAAAGAATTTAATTAAATGAGAGGATTTAATCATGACTTTTCGGTTGTGACAGTTCAATTATTTTGTTTAAAGGTATTTATTTTTTAGTTTTGTTCATAAATAGGTCAAAATTAATGTAAATACACGCTGTTTTAATTGTTTAAATTCATTAGATCTAAATCGATGTCTAATGTCATTTTTTTTGCTACACGATTTTGCAAAGATCTGTTAAGACCTAACGTAACATGGAAAATGAAAAATGTAAAATATCAGATTAATGAATGATAAATATGAAATAGGTTACGTATAGGTCTTATAATTAGGACTAAGTTGACTGTTGAAAGCCAAGCTATTTTTGACGACAGTGGTGACATCCAAATTATCCATCTTCTCTTTCAGTCGAATTGATAAAAATATCGGCTGCGTAACTTTGAGATATGAATTAATATCTTATCATAAAAACATGCACACAAATAATTATTATGAATAAAAATTGAGAAATGCGTGCAGAATTTATCAGTGAATCTACATATAACTGTGGGAGGCAAATGTGATAAATCATTATGCACCTTCGATCTCTGCGGCGAGGTGAAGATTTCCGTGGAGGAGGCATTCTTCCTTCGGCTATGTGACAACTGAAATATCAATTCTTGAAAGTTTCAATTCGGCGTGTACAAGTCGGCCATTTGCAATAGAGTTTAACCAATGAAATGAATGCTCTTAACTCATCAACGGTGTAGAATCTGCAATGAAATATGGAACGCCAAAACTGAACAAAACAGTAAACCCAGAGACAGAGACACAGATTGGCACAAAGCCGTTTATCAATAATCAGGTTAAAACAACAAATAAACCTTATTTCTTTTTATTTTCTTTATTTCCTAGTAATTTTTGATAAAAACACTGATCTTATATAAATCTGTGATAAAAAATCCAGGACAGTTATAGTATAGCCCGTTTCAAAGTCAAAGTAGTAGATCTAAATAACATACTGTTGCCACCATGTGTTCTTCATTGGTAAGAAGTTTTGAGAGCACATTTAACACAATTCTTTTATAATGTGGTTACGACAGAAGAAGCTTCTACGATTTAAGGGTCTGAGGTATATCAATCTAATTAAAATCAAATCAGCTCCTAAAATTTTACGCTATGCTTTAGGAGCTAATTATACATTCATCCATAGGCAGTCACCTTCTCGATCGTGGTCTGTCAAACACAACCAATCCTTGGCCAGCTTTCATTATTTTGAAAATGATGCTGTTTCTACCAATCAAATCTAGTAGGTAATTTTCACGATTTCGATATCAGACATTACGTTGTCCATATCTAGCCAACAGGTAAATTGGCAAATCAATCTTGCCCTTTAACTCTAAATTATATGGTGGCTGATTTGTGCCATTCGTGTTTTCGCCCTGCGACCCTGCTAAGCTAAAAGTCGAAAATTAACAGGTTAAAATGGCGGGGCGTTCAGCGAAAACACGCTTATAAGCGAGGGCGCCAGGCGAGGTTTAATAAATAAAACTTTGCCCCGCATGGACGTGGAGCGACATTTAAGAAATAAACGGCGGGGTCGCGGGATGAAAACAAGCTAAAAGTCCAGAATTAACAAATTAAAATGGTGGGGGCCCGGAGCGAAAAAATATGATAAACAAGATCAACAAGGAAAGGCGGCGTTTGAAATGAACGCAACCCCCACATGATATATACAGTAAGCAATTAATGACGATTTATCATTCAGCAGCGTTTATTCCTACTTACGATTTTGTTTCTGAGTATTTAACTAAGCAATTATAAATATATATTTCTATCTATAGATAAATCTGCTTCCAGAACTTGTTTACAACCACAGTTGCCCTTGAAGGAATTTTGGTAGGTCAATGTCAATAATTATTTCATAACGATTATAATGATTCCGGCGTTCCATAGAAATATTTTACAGCCGACCAATGAAAATGCTTGTGACATTTACGGAAAGTCACGAACTCATACGGAAAAGGCAGTGTGACGTTTCCTGTAATATCAAAATGGCTGACTTTGACGAATTTGAGAACCCTGCTCCTCAACAATCAGAGGACGATCCAGCTGCAGACTTTTTAGCCCGAGAACAAGATGAGCTAAAAGGCCTAGAAGACGATAACTTTGGTGGAGAAAATGCTGGAGGTAACCGATCATCTCATTATCAAACTATGACACATTTTGTCGCGAAAATTTGCCGGTCACTCCCACTGAATTGATAAACATTACATTTTATTTTAATCGATATATATTGACCGTTGGTTTTGTTACAAAATAATGCCCCTTCTTCCTTTATTCTAACCATTCTTTCATTTATTTAATTAATTCGTGTACTAATTGATAGTTCTATGATTATGAAAACGCCCCCTTTTGTTCAACTTCCATATTTATGGGAATCTTACTTAAATATGAATGATCTAGACTAGGGTCTAGCTTTGCCTCGAAGTTCTTGCTTATTACCTCAAGACTTCAAGAAATATAATGACTTGCAAACCGACAGAAGTTAATATGAAAAGGCAAAGCCTCAAAGCGAGCTGGATTTAGTTTGGAAAAGAGTCAACTCGGCCCTATACCAACTCGGCACGGGTCAACTCGGCACGGGTCAACTCGGCCCATTTTAAAAAAATATATTTAACGTAGTAATATTAAAAATAATATGAAACAAAAACATGTTTACTTAATATCATAATTAAGCTTCTAATTAATTGCAGGTGGTCACTAATCAATTTTAAATGAATGCGTCAATCATAATTATCACCTAATTAATCGGTATCCTTACGAACACACTGATTGATAATAATAGCCTGTGACAATAAGAGTCCCTTTAATGTCTTTAACCAATTTCATTTAATTTGTTTGTAATTGTCAAAAGCTGAAAATTAAGTCCGTGTATTATACATAATTACAAATATTACAAAAAATAGTGATTACACAAACCTAAATATAAATAATTGAAAAGTGGGCCGAGTTGAACCGTGCCGAGTTGGTATAGGGCCGAGCTGACTCGGGGGCCCGAGTACGTTTTAGGGCCGAGTTGACCCGGAATCGATTTAGTTTTACTGTGAATTACATTGTATAAAGTAATCCTTCATTTTTATTTTACATTTTCCTTTTTAAACTGTCGTTGGTTATTTTTTATACACTGCTTCTGTTTATTCTGGTTCCCTGTCCTATTATAGTTCCAGTCTACACATCAGTTTTCAATCAGAATTCTTCGGCTTTTATTGTTATCTTATAAATTATGAAAAAAGTTGCCATGTGTCAGTTTAGTATTTCTGACGAAAGTTTTCATAACCATCACTTTCTAGCAGGTACTCATGTTACCGTAAAGCAGGCCCTTCATGCCAGCTCTTCGAGCTCGCTATTATATTAATTTACGTCAAACTGAATGTTTTAGATTCTAATTAATGCAAATCTAGATTTTTGACATAGAGGCACTCAACAAACATAAAACAATATTGGCAAAATATTTCAGGGGCTGATTTTGATCCATTTGGAGGTGCTGGAGAACAAACAGGAGGCTCACCACAGCCAACAGATGACTTTACTGGGGGAGATTTTACTGGAGGTGAAACAGCCCAGGTGTGTATTATAGTCTCAATCCTGCTGGAACCGAAAGTAATTAACATTTGTCACTAGTATAGAGCCCGTCCAGAGTACAGTTTTGCAGGCTCTATGCTGTTGGTGGCACAATTATAGTGTTTTGAATTTAAAACTGGACTTTTCCAACTTTCAAGCAGGGCATTAAATTCCATTACACAAATTTTGTTTGTAATGCATTACAGCATATACATGTATTTGTTACACATTTATACATAGCGTAAAAATAAAAGAAAAATCCATGTTATCATAATGACATTTCTTTAATAAATGTATCCATTAGTTTCGACAAGGTATGATGTTTCAAGATATTAATTTTAATCTGTATTATAATATATCCAGTGTTGACTTGTTAATTTTGTTTATGTAATAAACTGCTAACATTTTAAATAAGATTATTTTATCACATTAATTCTACCTTGTAACTTTTGTATAAATACATATCATTCATTAACTCTTTGTTTGACTTTCGTTGACAAGCTGATTCAAGAATATTTCATTGCTAGTTAACATTGTGTTGCCATACTTGCTTTGAAAAATATTGTAATACCTTTTTGGAAGAAATAATTAAGTATTATTCTGTAGGATTTTGTCATTTAAAAAGAAAGGTCACAGCATACATGATACTTTTCTATATTTAAAGCCAGAAAAAAGATGAAAAGAATTATCATAAAATTAATGCCAGCATCTTTCAAGCTGTAGTTTGCCATGTAGTATTTTATGTCCATTGTACAATATAAAGCAAGGTTGTCATTTAACAAATATCTGAGAGGGTTTGTTTTGAATTTGTGGCAGTCTGTTTTGTTTTTAATACTTATGAAAAGGGTGTTTTCTAAGATTTTTATGGGGGCTAAAAATGCATTTAAGACAATAATCTTTGCCAGTGACCTTCTAATGACAACCTTGATAAAAGCCCATTAACACTTCAAATGTATGTATGACTCTGAGTGTGACTGGTTTTCAAGTAGTAAAAGAAACACAGTAGTTTACTAATAATTTTCCTCAACAGTTTGACTCAACTGGTGACATGGGTGAAACTAATGAACAAGATACAGGGGTAAGATCATAGATTATGAACTAATGGAGAGGGTTTTATAAATGATATCTATCAGTGTTCCCTCTCATGTTTGAGACCAAAGATAACTATAATACCATGTTACTCTCTTGAATTTATATTTAAAAGTATCTGATTTATGATATAATGTATAGACTTCCAGATTTCAAATAATTGAAGCCCTCATTGATTGAAGATTATTTTAGGGTTGATATGAATATTACTCCATTTTTGGGAACACTGATAAAACTCATGAGGCAGCTTGTAACATTGTGTTATGAGAGTTGACAATAGTGATATCATAACACACTGCCATATCATGATATTAATTTCTGATATTTATTGATTATACCTAACATAATTCAGTCTAACAATGATATTTAAACTGTTTTCATCGTCTGTACAGTGTTAGAATCACATTGAATAGTTACATACACCTCTTCATGTCATACAAGGGAGATAATCATTGAATGTTAGGCTGAAAAAAGTCTTGACAGATTATTTGCCCTTGTATGACATTTAAAACATAATCAGTGCGATGATTAAGTTTTTTAACTCAATTGTGCTTGTTCACATGTCGAAAAATGTTGAACATGTTTTTGATAGTTAAATTGTGGGTTTCTTGGGGAATGGGCTTTCATCATTGTAGACAGAAGTAAGGTATAATGAATTAATATATTATAATTGTATTATTTACTCACATTGTTTGTTACTGTATTCACAGCCATTTATCCACCCACCTAATACCTTTAGATTAATCATTTTGACATATATAGATTAGTACTTTACTTACAGCTTTTTGGTGGTGTAATATGTTATTATTCTAGAGAAGTTAAGGTCTTTAAAGTCTTTTAAAAATTATTGTCTTTCAGTCATATTGTTGTACTTCAGTCATATTGTCTGTCAGTCATATTATCCTTGAGTCATATCATCCTAAAGTCATATTGTCCTTCAGTCAATTCATCCTTCAGTCATATTGTTCTTCAGTCATATCGTCCTACAGTCATAACGTCCTTCACTCATATCGTCCTCTCTGATATTATCTGTCAGACATATTGTCCTTTTGTCATATTGTCCTTCAGTCATATTGTCATGTCATATTGTCTTTCAGTCATATTGTCATGACATATTGTTCTTCAGTCATATTGTCCTTCAGTCATATTGTCATGTCATATTGTTCTTCAGTCAAATTGTCATGACATATTGTTCTTCAGTCATATTGTCCTTCAGTCATATTGTCCTTCAGTCATATTGTCATGTCATATTGTTCTTCAGTCAAATTGTCATGACATATTGTTCTTCAGTCATATTGTCCTTCAGTCATATTGTCATGTCATATTGTACTTCAGTCAAATTGTCCTTCAGTCATATTGTCATGTCATATTGTTCTTCAGTCAAATTGTCATGTCATATTGTTCTTCATTCAAATAGTTCTTCAGTCATATTGTCCTTCAGTCATATCATCCTCTCATATTGTCTGTCAGTCATATCGTCCTTCAGTCATATTGTCCTTCAGTCATATCATCCTCTCATATTGTCTGTCAGTCATATCGTCCTTCAGTCATATTGTCCTCCAGTCGTATCATCCTTCAATCATTTTTCAGTCATATTTATTAGTGAATGCTCTGATTCTTACAGTATTTGAACCTTTGTTAATGCAGTTCATATCCACCACATGAATTATGTTTCTAAATGGCCAAACCATAGAAAAATGAATTTTACTTAAAGTACTATTTAAATGTACACAATCCTTTTAACCCTTCAAATTTTATTTACAAAATTGGTTTGCATTTTATATAATCACAATGAAATAGAAAAAATTGTCTGTAGTTTCACTATAGGTATTTAGTTTGTCATCCTTCAAGTACAATCACATGTTTATATTTACCTTTAGATCATTTCCTTCACATCAGATCTTTTATTTTCAACTTCCTTTTTTATGGTCTTAGGTCCATTAAATTTCGTACTTGGTTTATACAGAATTAATTTTAGTTTGTGTAGCAAGATTTAAGCTTATAGACTAACTGGATTCTATCTAGAACTGTAGTAGTGAGTGTAAAATTTCTTACTCAAGGAAACAAGCCCCTGATGTTTAACTCGCGGGGCTAGTCATCTTTACATTACTAGTCTGATGTGTTAACCATTTTGCCGTACAGTCACTTAAGTAAACCACTTGGCCATACAGTCACTAAAGTAAATGTACTTGAAGAGGAAAGGTGGCTTATTGAGTAAGGTGTTCTACTCACAGCCCAGGTTTTAGCCAGGATTATGACCTAATGTTTCCACATATGACATCAAGGCTAGTAACTTGAGCGTGGTTCAGACAAGCCTCAAGTTTTCCTCACAATCAAGCTAAAATAAAGAATTGTACTGTTAGGTTTCAATTGCTAAGTTAATTAGCTGGACTGGAGTTATTACCCCCTGAGTTCTGTGAATGTTTATCTGGGTTGTCAGGACATTAAATTCTTAAATTATGATTTAACTTATTGAGCTGGCTTGTAGAAAGTAAATTGATTGGTCTGAGCTCTGGTGCCTTAGCTTTTGCCTGTAATAATTATATTTATAATGTATGCAATAGCACTTGATGTATTTCTTTACGTTTTTTTTCACTACTTTGACTTTGTGACTCATAATAGAACTGCATTTTGTGTAAAATGTTATTATTATGCCTTCTAGGGGAGAAACAAATTGATTCTCCTGTCAAGTTTTATATATGAGACCACCTACTTTCTTTAATATGTAAAAGTAATAATTTTCAAAGGGATGACAGTGTTGATAATTTATTGGAGGTGACACTCCATACTTTTCTCTTGTGTTTAACATGTTAATTAAGGAAAATTTTGTAAGTTTTGGAAACTATTAAATTATGAAATAGAAGGCAATGTAAAATATGATTATTAAATTATAAAATTGAAGGCTATGTAAAATATATGAGTTTTGGTTTTAATATAGAAATATCAATACTATTATTAAAACAATAAATATTCAATAAATGATGTATGAGTGACTTGGGTTTTTCATTATACATGTAGCTACTGTTAATCTTATGTAATAGAAGTGAATATATTTTAGTATTTTTGTGTTAAGGTTGTTTTTCTTTCAGGCCTTAAAGACAATGTACATGGAATTTTATTTGATAGAAATTGTTTTCATACTATTATGGTTGTTTGTGCAATTTTTTTTGGAAACAGATTTTATCAGAGTGTGTTGATTAATGACATGGCACTTAGTGATCTGGAATTTTGCACACAATTGTTTGATTCAGGTCTACATCAACTAGTATACAAATTGTATACAAACTTCAGCATGTTAAAAAAACCCAAAAAACTCCGTGATGTCCCTTTTACCTACTACCACATGAAGTGATTTATTAAAATGTGGTTTTGATAGTAGATGTAACATGTACTGTTAACTTCTAGTACCTACAATAACATGTACTTGATTGGCCATTTAACAACAGTAGACAAAATTGAGCCGTGTCACGACAAAACCAGGAACATAATGGGTTTGCGACCAGCATGGATCCAGACCAGCCTGCGCATCCGCGCAGTCTGATCAGGATCCATGCTGTTTGCTATCAGTTTCTCTACTTGTAATAAAGTTGGTAAGCGAACAGCATGGATCCTGATCAGACTGCGCGGATGCGCAGGCTGGTCTGGATCCATGCTGGTCGCAAACCCATTATGTTGGTTTTGTCATGACACGGCTCAAATTTTCTTCATTAGGCAACATCGTGAATAACACAACAAAAGAATACATCCTGTGTGGACACTTAAAGTATTCATTATAATATAATTTCATGCCTTATTTCTTGCAGGCAAATGACGCATACTCTGCCATAACTCAGGTAGACAAACAACGTGCTGAACCTGAGAAGATTCGTCTGTGGAGAGAAGAAAACACGCGCAGAATAGCAAAGAAAGGTAAAAGAAGATCCATATGTATTTTCATACATTTTCATAAAAACTAAATTTGGTACAACTGTCATCAATTCAAACAATATCAATATTTTTTTGTCAATAATCTATACAGATTTGAGAAAATAAATTTGATGAATATAACTAATATTAATAAAATAGAAATTATAAAAATTCACCTAAGACTCATATGGCAGAAGGTGCCAAATCAAAATGACAAACTAAGCTGTTGTTACATAATGGGCATAATTCATAGCAGTGATGGCAAAATATGGTTAGTGAAGAACATGCAATGGGTACTTGTAAACAATAATTTTATAATTATTGAAAGTTCTAGTTATTACGTTGGTTACAAATTGAACAACAGACTTTGTTACATTGGTTAAAATGGAACAAAAGATTTTTTAAAATTTATTTGTAGATGAAGAAGAAGAGAAACGTGTTAAAGAATGGAGAGATATAGCAAAGAAGGAATTAGATGACTGGTATAAACACCACGAGGAGCAGTTGACCAAGACCAAAGAGAACAATCGGTAAATTTCATTCTTGTTTTTTATGCTCATACTCTCTGCTGTAGAATAGTTGAAGTTGGCTTCTTACATTTTTGGCTACATTTCCCCATGAGTAAATTGATTAACAATGTGGTATAAAGGCAGATTTTTATTTTAAACTTAAATTTGTGGGTAATATTTTAGATTTTTTTTGAGAGAGAAAAAAAGGCTGTTTAATTTGTCAGTATGTTAATAATTAAATACAGAATACTTGCTTGACCAATTGATGTGAAAATTATGTAAGAAAAACTATATAAAAGAGATGCTTAAATGATATATATTCAAAAGGATATTTGAGGGGGAAAAATCCATTGTTACCAAGTAAAAATGTATGATGTAGAATTTATGTATGATTTTAAAGGACTATTTACCAAGCATCATTGCCTTGACAAATTCCTTCCCCATTCTTTATTATTGCTTTAAGTGGGCCGCTCACGTAATGTGTGGAAAGCTTTTAGCAGAGTTTGCGATACATTTTGGAAATGCTTCCTTTGATAATGTTGTGTGACTATGCGAATGTCATGTGAATACATAGTTTACTGACTTATAGTAATCTAGTTTTTTTGCAATACTAACATTGGACAATTGGAGCTGACTAACATTTGGTTTCATTGGCTTTATAACAGAATAAACTTTGTTTCTGGCCAATTTTTCCACAAGAGGTAGATCCATATCAACATTTTGAAAGATTCTGATCAAGTCATTTGTTGTTTTCTTTAAAGTTTAGTATTAGAGTAGGGGGTAGGGTATGGAATTCAGCAATTCATGTTTGACAAAAATTTAACAAGTTATCAAATTTTTTGGAAAAGAAAGAATAGGGGCTCATGAATATTAATTCTGCTAGTGCGTAAACTCTTTTTTTTTCAATCTTTAAGGATAAATGATAAAAAGCCCATCTAATGCAAATGTAAAATAGGGTAAAGTAGCCCAAAATAACATAAAAGATATGTGAACCAATAATGGGATCATGAAAATGTAAATTAAACTACATTTATCTATCAAAGTGTCAGTATGGATCTGTCTCTGGAAAATGATATCATTGGTTTGTACTATTTTCTATATTTCCACCTTAACAAGTTTTTCTTCATATCCCCATCTAGCAATGGACCGTAAGTTACCAAAACTATTGTACACAGTTCTCTAGAGATTATTAAACAAATGTTACATGTTGGTGTTGTGCATTAATATACATTAGGTCCAAAGTTATAAAAGTTGAGAAAAGAAAATTTTGAGATTGGAAACCAGTCTGGGTATCAAGTAATATGATTGGTTCATTGAATGCATAGATTTGAAATGGACCAATGGCATGGCTCCACTTTGTAGACTGGTCTCAATCCCTCTAATTTTATAACCTTGGACTTGTATGCTAGTCATAGAACAAAGTTTGTTTTGATTTGAAACACATTTTTCAGAGTTTATAGCAGTTCTAGGTAATATTGGAGGGAATGTAAAAAAGGGAGTGGGTTTTATTCAAATTTCAATAGTCCACATCAAAGTCTGTGCACTTGCAAATGAGTTTGGGATTTCTTTTTGAATGATTGTTTTATCAAATGTTTAATATTTTTGGTGTAAGCCAGTAGATAAACTTTTTAGTTATTTTTTGTGTGCTTAAAGACCATTTCTTCAGTCCAATTTATTCTAACATTTGTAGTGTTATGTTGATAATTTAGTATGATAGATTTGTAGTGTTCTGTCTTTAATTCTTAGTGCTTCTTAGGGTGAAAGACTTACTGTTAAGCTATTGTATAAAGCAAACTGCTTATAGGCAAAATATGTGTGTTTACAAATTTCAAAAATGGTTTCATTACATAATTCAGAGCTCTCGTTTTAAGGCTTAGAATATTTACAAAATTTTGTCCTTATGAATGAATATAAAGTTCTGCATGTACAATGACATTTGAAGTTCAGTCTCTATACCTAGTTTTCATAACTGTCTTGTGATTATAGAGACTAGTTGTTATGTGCTCATTAAGATTTACTGAATTTGGAATTTTCCGAAGTTTACATAAGGAATTTCATTATCAAATTACTACAATTTAGCAGGTGAGTGTATAAAATCAGATCAGAATTAATGGACTGTCAGGCTGGTTTTGCAATAAAAGGGACAGATTAGTAGGCTGATCTGGCAATATATTGGATAGACTGGCAATTAACTAGTGACATAGGCATAAATTAGCTAAGCTTTTAAATTAAAACATACAAGTTTGGTTAATGTATTTTTCTTTTCAAAGACCTATTGTTTTAAGTGCATTGTTCACAATTTGATAATGAGAATAATTATGTTAGACAATGTATATGTTAAAGAGAACAAGATTTAAGGGAATTTTGTTGTCAGTGCCCTACTAGGAATATGTAAGAAACAGGTTTATACAGAACTATTTTATAACTAATGTTACTAATGTTAAGGACAAGTTTTTTAAAAAAGAAAAAAAACCCGGACAGTTATTTTACAGTGAATATTTTTTATTGTTTGATATTATAGTAGATCTAGCTCGAATGTTAGATGTATTTAGCTGTAATCTAGTTTCTTACAGTTGCTAAAACTTAAATGATCAATTTCCTTTAATATACCCATTATGGCACCCTCATTTTTTTATGCAACAGAGCATGTCAGCCTTGTTTCTACGACATTTTTTTTCTTGTTTCATTAGTAAATTATTCTTAAATTTCATAGTATAGCATAAGTTCCTCTCAAAGTGTTCTCCTTTTGCAGTATTTTTGAAGAACAAATATTCCTTGTAGGTCTCAGTTTTGTTAAAAAAAAAATGAAATTATCAGCATTATAAATTTAAAGCATCTAGCAATTTAATAGAATTTCTATGTCAATTTTCAAAACTTGCAATTTTCATTGTAGGAAGGAATGTTTAAAACTACTGCAAGGGGAAGTAATCTATGTAGGGACTTAAACTATTTTGTTCTATGAGTATTTGTTACTTGGCATGTTAGTGAAATGAAATTGTTTATAATTGGATGTTAGATAAAATATTGTTAATCAGGTGTTTATGAAAGAAATTGTGTGAGTACATGGTATTGAAAGACTACATTTATAAGGGTTTAAATTTTTAAAACTTATCAGATGTATTAAATAAACAGATAGAAAGACGCAATGTAAATCAGCCATTACCTCATGAATGTTTAGAACACCATTTGGCTGTCATTGTGATGTACCTGCAAGGTGCTTGTTTAAACCTTTAAAGGGATTTTAGTTAACTTGAGCAACCAGCAACATAGATTATGCAGCCTGACCTCAGATTGTAACTGGTGAAGCGAAATTTCTCCCATCATGGAAATTGACTCCAAAACATCTTTTATTTCTCACCACTCAAGCAGAAATGATGTGGGATTGAGTAGTCATTTAAATTGGTTAGGACTGACTGGTTAGTTGTTTTTTGAAAGCAAGTAAGGTGGATTGTCAACAGAAATGTGACCAAAAATGAATTTAAATTAACAGCAGTACTATATTTTGCGTAATAATTAACGCTTCAAGAAAGTATGGTATAACTTGGAGTTGGAATGGAATGCGGGCCTATTTAAATAAATCTTAATTCTTTGATAACTAGGGATGATGTATTTCTATTGTTAAAAGAAGGAAAAAGATTGAACCCCATGGCCTACTGGAATCATAAACTCTCTGGACAACAGCAATTTATCTTCAGGGAAAATGTCAAAATAAGTATGGATTGATTAGTGAACAGTGCAGACCATGATTAGGCTGCACAGATGTGCTGGCTTGATTTGGGCTGAACTGGTCTGCATAGGAAGTATTCTAGATAAACATTTAAAAAGGAATGGGTAATGGTAAATCTGTAAATGTGCATGTACATTATATAGACAGATGTCAGTTAATTATAACAATGTTTGTGTGAATGATGTATTTAGTGCATATAGATATTTTATGTTGTTTTGTCCTTATAGCTATAGGTATAGATTGTTTATGATAATTTGACAACACAGCATATTTGTATATATTTACTCTACTTTCATCAAGCCTATAATATGCATTTTTTTAACATAATTTTTAGAAGTGAAAAAAATATGAAAAAAGTGCAGTTTTGAGGTTTGGTGTAATTTTGTTTTTGCACAATGGATAAAGTGTCAGATACTTTCTGATTTCACAAAAAAGATTTTCTTAAGATAAATATGTTATTTTTGATAGATCGTTTCATATAATTGTCCAATCAAAAGAATTAGGGTGGAAAATGAAATTTACAGATGATAAAATACATACACAAGAAGGAAATCCCTTGATACATCTAATCTTATGGTCCCTCTCTATATTTAAATTAGTAAACCTGACGATTTGTTTCCCGATTATCTATTTTTAGAAACAAACATCACTTTTGTGTTATAAATAGCTCTCAGGACACTGTTTTGAAGAAAGCTTAACAGTTATATGATGCATTTTTCAAAGATAAAAATTACTGAAATACATGTACCAAGTTTGAAACAACACAGAATTGTTTTTCCAACAAAAAATAAAATCTGAAGGCTGTTTTAAATTCAGGTGTGAATTTTTTTAAGGTTTTAGGAATTGATTATGTATTGGTAACTATAGTTACTAAATATAAGTTATCTTTGTTTGTTTTTAGTGAGTCAGAAGCAGCGTTCGTTGCAGAGAGGGACCAGACTCAACCAGGAGAGGAGTGGGAAAAAATTTGCAGACTGTGCGAATTCAACCCAAAGAATTCAAAGAACACAAAAGATATCTCCAGAATGCGTTCCATCTTACTGCAGTTGAAACAAACACCCTTAGTCAGATAAATACGACAGTATAAACATTAAACTGTGTTATTAATATAGGAATATTGTATGTAAGAATAAAATGTTGTGAAAATCACTATGTATTTATAGTAAATGTATAAAAGAAATTGTTTTGATTTTTATCAGTGTTTTTTTTTCTCTTTAGTTTAATAAAAAGAAAATAAAAATAAGAAAGTAGAGGGATTCATATTTGTAGGTAGCTATATTAATATGAAGTATTAAATAATATATAGATTGCACGTTTTATTTTGTGTCAGAAAAATCCAGGACTCGTGTTATAAATTGGTTTTGGTGATATAACATAAGCACCATCTTTAATGAAATGGAAAAATATCCTATGGTTTTAATTCTCACGGGAGATATCTTGAATATTTTATTGATAATTTTAGGGGAAAGTGATAAATGTATTGATGGGGCAGAAACATTCTTAGCACAGTAAAAAGCTAAAAACATTCATAACAAAATCTGCAAAACTTTCGGTAACATTTTTCACAAGTTTGATAATTTGCATATTTAATTGATCTGATTTGCATTTTAGATAATGCAGATTTTCTTTAATGGATGGTAATGCGATATTCCTTTTAAGCAGTGGGTTTCGATAAAAACAAGTAGATTTGTTTAAATAAAACGCATGGGCTAGTTTTCCGAGATTTCAGAAGGAACATTGTTGATAATACAATGATGTGCAATATATAGCTTAGAATATGTTAATAATTTAATTTAGACATGTATTTTGATTGCCGTTCATATTCATCCAACAGTTTGTATTGGACATTCACCAGTTCATATTGGACTCATTCTGGTTTTCTGATATGCTTCTTTGATATTGGACCGACCAAGCCAACTTTTTTTTTTGGCAACAGTATTGGTTTCAAGTTTATCCCAAAATTTCTATAAGAACAAAGTATATAATGACGTTTTCAAATTTGATTTTCATTATTTGGCCCTCAATACATTTGCCAATATAACATTCTTTTAGTAGTGGGTCATTAAACAGAAGACGAATATCTGTTGAAATGTCTAAGCAATTTTCAGGAACTTAATTTGATGAAGAAAGCAGCGATTTTATATGTACTCGAAAAGTCCACATATGAACACAAAATTAAATTTTACTTTGATATAATTTAAATTTTTTAATTCACATTTACATTCCTAAATAATATTGTAAACTTTTTATATCCTCATTAGAACGATAGTCTTACGACTTTGTTTAAGATTGTCATTCCTTAATTTTCAAGTTTAACTCTTTAAACTTTTTTTAATAACTTTTATGATAAACGTGTTTCAAAGCATTTATTTCCGATTTCAAAGTCACGTGACATTGATGTACAAACTTATTTCATAGCAATCTTTTTCGATTTTAAAGTCAGTGACATTGATGCATACATTATTCTTGGTCCCATAGAGTTGATAATAATGTATTACTCAATCTTTGGACCAAATATTGTTATAAGTTACGAGAATCGTCTGAAATAGTATTGTAATCTTTAAAATTTTGTGACAAATATGCAATAAATCATCATATAAAACAAAGTCCATAGCCTTTGTTTACATTCTTTCTTCATAAATTAAGGTTGATTATATAGTAATCGCCTTGTCTGTCCGAGCAAGTAGATTTGTTTAGAAACGAAAGAATCATTCTTATAACAGAATACGAGGACAAGGTCCTTTTGTCAACAAAAACTAGTTTTAAAAGAAACTGCCCCCACCCTGTCGTCAAAGTTTCAAGGTATGAATGTGTCGGTGTTTACAAGGCTAATAAAACATCTCAAACTTATAAGTAAGCATTTTAAAGCAGATCCTGTATCTTTAGCAAGAAATCTGAACACGATGTTTAATATGGATTGCCAGGTATTAGCAAATTGTATTTGCTCAAAATAGTTATCCAGGAAAAAAAACCACTGCCGAGATATGACAAAAAAAAATCTACGTTACAATGGACGGACTATCAATTTAAGTTACGAACATGCTCGTTCAAAGGCAGCGGCTTTGCACAGTCCTCTTCTCATACCCTCGTGTACACAGAACGTCTAATTGCAATGCTCATAATCATACAAGCACATGTTTCCCTCTCTGTGGTATATCAAATCATGAAGTTTGTTACCAATGCCGTTTTTCCTATACAAATGGTTATGGAATAAAAAAGCTCACATCTCAATACTTGTAAAGTACATAGTTCTACAATAGTTCGAAACTGATACATTAATGAAAATATCTTGTTTCTAGAGCATAGTTGAATGAACTGATTTTACATGGTGTCAAAGAAAATATTTTTGAACGGGGTTCCAAATTAAAAATAAGAAAAAAAGTTACATAATCACACAATTTGAAATGTAGAAAAATATCATGGGAGTAGGAAACTGTCAAAAAGCGACACATCTTCCTTTTAATAGATTAAAAACAGTTATTTCAACGCGGATTTAGAGAAAATTAAACTTGATAGCAATATGTCAGTTATGGCAGAACCACCGGGAGCATTGAATTGAGTTTCTTCTATTAAGTCTGTTTTTGTGTGTATTTTTTTTTTACAAAATGTAAAAAGTTCCTTTAGCACGGAACAAATACATACGGAAGGTTTCCTTTCTGACGCTTTTGGTGTTCTCAAATACGTGAAACGAAAATTTGTGGTAATAGCATCTACAGAATATTCCTCTCAGTAAAAGACCGATTCAAATACAAAAATCAAAGCACTGAAAGCACCGAGGTATACATTGCTTGATAATATAATCCATTTTTGTCATCAAGGCCATGTTGATTTTAACCTACTGACTTCAAAATCAATAGGGGTTATCTTCTGTTCAAGGTCAGTGTCCCTAACAAGTGACTCAAACTAAGGCTTATTTTTTCCAAAGTTATTAATGAGGCAAGGAAGATGTGATGTTCCAACTGTGTATTGCTAGGCAAGCTGATTGATGAGCAACGAAGAAATCAGTTTGTGAAACACCCCTTAATGGACTGCAGTATAGGAAATCGAAACATTAATATTGAGTCTTGAATAATGCTAAGACATGACCTGGCTTGAACTCTATGCAAAGTCAATTAATTGAATCATCATACAAGACTTAATTACGAAATTATAGTACATCCTTTTGTATAGCTTTTCCTGTTACAGATCTATGTAATGTTCTTTAATGCATTAATACATATATATTCTGGTGTGTTCTACACATTAATTTTCAAACGATTTACTTTATCGTTTATTAATGAAAATGAAATCTATTATCAAATCAAATCAGATGTACTTTAATATTTTCATTATTCAATAATTGTTACATAAAGTCTGCCAACAAATTCATTTATATTGGACAGAAAGTTTTTTTTTCCATAATCAGGCTATGTGACCAACTTCTTAACTCTAGATGAACCATACACAATATTGAGCTAAAACATTTTTTTCTATTTTTGGCTACTGTGACCTACTTCTGATTTTCAACCAAGATGATCCATGTTCAAACTCGGAGCAAAATCTGTCACACACATTCTTACCAAGTTTTGAGACAACTGGGGCAAAAATGTGACCAGTAGAGTGTTAACAACTACATGTCATCGTCGAATACGCACGGTTGATTAGCATGCAACATGACATAACTGATAAATGTTAATGGTTCAGCCGTGGGTATCCGACGATGCTAAATGTGGACAGACCACAGGGTTCATGTGTATATACTCTTGATATGCGTAATAGTTGTCTTTAATAATATATTAGAAGTCTACACTTTCCCCAACATTAGTACCGCTTGCATGCACAGCATTAAATTTTATCCATTAACATTTAGGTGGTGGCTAGCGCACAGCTTTCCAGGACACACTGAATTCTCTAGCCGTACGGCACTTTTCGAAAAAATATATGAAAGTCGAAAATGCATATGTTATTTTAGCTCCATGCTCTGGCTTAATCGTCAAAATTCCAAGTTCGACGAACGTTTTCCGGTATACGTAGGTAAATTTTGTTAAGAGCTACATACTCATTTTGTAAAACATATTAGGACAATTTCATTGCATAAATGTAAATCAAGAATTTTATTTGATTAAATATCTATCTTAGATGTTTCGTCTCATTTATATAATTCTGACGACATTACTATATTTACGATGTATTCATTCATGCTTGCATGCGCATGCGTGTATGCGAAGTTTAGCGTGTAGGAATATACTACGATGAACTCTCAATGAACTGTTTTTTTTTACTAAGAAATGTATTATTTCATGAAAATGAACGATTTGGGACTTTCAAAACATTTAAACAGCTTTGCAAACAATATTTAATGATGTGTAGTCGGAATGTAACAGTACTGCAGGATGAAGAACTAGTTTCTATAGTGGTTTTTATCCGGAAGTGGATGTTGTTCGGTAGAGGATAAACCTGTATTGTGGGGATTTAGCTTTTTACTCTGTATACATTGCAAGCAATGTATAAAAAATAATTTTGAAGATTTGCTGAACATGATATGCCGAAAATTTATATAACATGATTTGCCGAACATTTATATAACATAATTTGCCGAAAATAAATCACATGTTTTGCGACATTTATATATCACGGTTTGCCGAACATCTTTATAACAAGATTTAATGAACTTTTATATAACAAGATTTGCCGAACATTTATATAACAAGATTTGCCGAACATTTATATAACAAGATTTGCCGAACAATTATATAACAAGGTTTGCCGAACATTTATATAACATGATACGCCGAATATTTATATAACATGATAACTGGCCATAATGCATTTATAGAACAAGATTTGCCGAATATTTACATAACAAAATTTGCCGAACATTTATATAACATGATTATCCGAAAATTTATATAATGAACAGTTATCACCAGCTAGTGTTTGACATAACGTTTGATTCACTAGCAAGCCAAAGAACTTCTGTTGCATACGCTTATCTTTGTACTTTAAAGGATACAGAATGCCACACACTTCTTAACTACCAAAATGGAAGATAAAGGACAAATTTAAAGAAATGATATAATTGATAAGTGATCTATTCTTTATATGATAATTTTTGTTACTAAGATGTTATTATTATTGAATTGAAATAATCTTATTATGTATGGTAATCAAACTGCACTAAATGATCTAAAATGATTGCTTATTGATTCCAGTAATTGAAAACAATTAAT